TCGTCGTCGTCGTCGTCGTCGTCGTCGTCGTCGTCGTATCATCGTCGTATCATCGTCATCGTCCGAACATTCATTTTGTTAACACATAGAAAGGTGGCGTGCGTTCCGAATATATAGTACCTATTCATCCGAAAGGCCGATTCCTGCGAGAAGGCTGTGCTTTTATGAAAAAATACAGACGTCCTGTTATATTTTAGTTAGACAAGTATGTAGTCAAATTAGACGCGCACGCCATTTTTCTTCGGATTAAACCGACTCTTTGTTAGGTTTTACTTTGCTTCGCTTTCTCGCTTCGGTTCCACGCAACTCGACTTCGTTTCTTTTCCTTCGATTCGCTTTATATTCCCTCCACTCGCTCCGTATATGTATTAGTCAGTTTCCTTATTACGCTTTAAACACGGGCTGTTCTCTAAATAGTTACGAATGACTTTGAAACGGAAGGAAAATGATTGGAAAGCTGGCATTCGAATATGTAAATACAAATATGTAAAATTCTATTATATTTTTCTGAGACCACGCTTTGAGAAAGACTCGCGAATCTCTCCTTGCGCGTGCGCGTGCATTCTCCATCACCATCGATTCAAACTGTTCACCTTCTACGGAAGCTTGTCCCCCATCTCCGCTGCTTCACTCTGTACCATAAACCACGCGGCGAATGAATTGCCTTCGAATCAATCGATTAAAACTGCCTTCCAGTCAGCTGCCCACATGGCCGAAAACTATGTAGAGCTGTTTCGCAAATCTGCTCAATGATCGTTGTCTCGAGGCGATTCTATCAGGATTCAACCTGATCGATTCGAACCATACATCCGATTAAAACCAACGACAATTTCGGAACGTGTCCTTTTCCTTTTCCATCAGAAACAACAGCTGCGTTACTACCCAACACAAAATGGTCCGGAGCAAAATTTCATTCAGCTTAAACCGAAACCGAAACGAGATAAACCGGAAGAAACGAAAAGAACACGTTAAGATAATGCTTTATTTCGTACATCGATACAGTAAACTGTAGGAAAAGATTAGCTAGTGATCCAAGATTGTATTATAAGTACATATACATATGTCTCATTTGACGATAGGAGTTTCCTTTAGGAGCGTCGCTGATGCTTATGCCAAATGGTACCACTTTTTCTCTCTTTCTCTTTAAAAGCACGCGCACGTGAGGGCAGCGTTTGCCTAACATTTGAGAAACATTGTAAAAATCAGTAGGAAATGCACACCAAAGATTAGGCTATAAATATATCTTGACAATAATGTTTGTTTCAAGGAGGCAGATAGACTATTTTTTACCCAACACGAGAACCAAGCGTGTCGAACGAAACGTGTCTTCTTCTACACATGCATATATGTAATACGTATGTAAGTAGGTAGTAGATACACACAGATCCCGACGATCATCTATGTATCTCCTCGCTCTAGGAAAAGTCCAAAGAAAATATTTCGCGGTTCGATTCGGTATCTATCGGTACTTATCTTCCCTTAGATACGCACAATTCAAGTTTTCGCAAAGAAATACGTGCCGCCAACGATAACAACAACAACAACAACAACACAACGATGGGCAATGTTTTTCTTTGAATCGCTACTGAATCTTAAACGGGTGAGGGAGGAGAGCAAAAGGAAGAGGGGTTGGGTTGGGGGAAAAATGAAATGCGGACGCGATGCATTCGAAAGGGAAATACGATCGACGATTATTTTTAATACGGTGCTAATGAAAGAAACGCAGTTAGTTTACGATGTCGAGACGCGCGTGCGCGGGAACGTAAATGCAAATTCCGAAAGGAACTCGCTTTACCCACCTCATGGTACCTGCCTTTCGTCGAAATGTAAGCGTTCCAAAATGGCTATATGTAGACAATGACATGTACGTAGCTCGATCGAACGAGCCGATTGTTAAATAAAGATCGTTAATCGTTTTCCAACGATAAGATTAAGATCGCGATGCCATGCTGGTACAAAACCATTGAACGCACACTTCAATGAAACATCAATGTAGTTTTATATAATAAAATTCGATGGAAAAATGGAGAAAAAAAAGAAAAGAAAAGACAAGGAAAAAAAAAATCTGTTTTTCGTACTGTCCGAGAGTTTAGGCTCTCTCCTCTATTTATTTACCGCCCTCTTTCCGTCCTTATCCTATTCTATATCGTATATCCTCGATGTCATACATCCACCACGCTTATTTTCGTCGAAAAAAAGAGAGAGTAAAAAACTGTAACTCGAGAAGAATCTCACACACACACCACCACTCGCTACCGAATGAAAAAGATCCGCACGTACAAAATATTCAAGTTTGTTTATTGCAAGACTTTTAACCTCCAAAAATAAGTTTACATCTCGTACAGTTTCAATGAGAGACAACCAAAGAAACAGATGCAACGCAGGTACCCCTACATCGTTCTATTTACATTCGAACGATTCAAAATTCAAAGCGCAATGATGAACGAAATTTTATAAAAGTACGAATTGCGCTAGATCGACTTGCATCATCGATCGTCAACGAATGAGTGAACGTGTATACATGCTATCGTGTGAAATCGCGAATGTAATTCGAACATGAGCGGTGATTCTCTATGATTAATCGATTCTACGATCAACCTGACACATGTATATCACATTTTTATACATGAAAAACTATAATACAACGCATGCGATAGTTTAAAAAGAGATTATCATCGTTTTAGACGCAGATCGTGAACGATCCATAAGCTGTATACACGGTATTCAGTCTGACGGAGCGCTTTTATAGCTTCGTTTACTATTGTAATTTCGCTTCCTCTTTCGCTTTCCAAAGTATCAACTCCATACAAGCGACAGCATCCTCTTTGCTATCGTGACCGCCGACTGTAACAGATGCGTTAAAAAGTTAGCGACAAACTTTACTTTTCCGTTCTACATTTACGTACATATCTGCTGTAAAACTAAAATCATTTCTGTCATTTCTGCCAATCGATCAAAGTCAACAATTCTAGACTAACCGTCATTCTGAATGATCTTTCTCAAATATTCGGAACAAAGGTTCTTCAAAGCTCTCTTTTGCGGATATCCGTTCTTGTGCGGAAACATTATGCTCGTGTCGACCACGGTATCGTGTAGAAGTTTCAAAGCTTTGAAATCACTTTCGAGACTGTGACCCACTAGTATCGTTTTATCCGAAAACATTGTCAACAGTGTCGCTTGAACGTCCAATAACGTTGTCGTCACATCCTTCATACCTTCCTCCGTGATTCCAGAAAACCTGTGCAGTCGTCGATCGATCCTCGTTATTATTCGTTATTCGCAAGAATCCTCGACGAAATAGTTACCTTGTATTATAATCTATTATAGGATTTTGCGGTTTAACCAATGTCTCGTACATCACGTTGCAATCTTCGTCGATGACGGTTATCCTGGTCAATTCCAATCCTTGTGTCGTGTAACTCATTTCACAATCGAGCGCATACACCCCTTGTTCTTCGATTGCCGCATCTTTGGGCAAACAATAAAAAAGAAGAAAAAAGAGAACCAACGAAATACATTTTTAAAGCGAAGAGAAACGGGAGAATGCAAGCAAGCAAAGAAAAGCTTCAATAAAGAATCAGAAGCAAAAGAAAAATATCGATGGTATACCTTTCGGCAATGTTTTCACGTAACCACGAAGATTTTCATAGTCGGTATAATCCCAAACGTGCGTTTTCGCGTCGCAACAACCGGTTGCAGAACCGTATTGCTGACAGCAACTGTATTTCCCTTCACCTCTGATCGTGAATTTTCTACCCCAATGATATATACAGTTCTGTGGTTGCAAAGCAAATCCTTGCTTATCGATCATGTAAGTTTGACCGCATCGGCTACAAACTCTTTCGTTAGGCACCTTTGACAAAACACTCTGATTTCGCGAATTGATTACGTAAACTTTAGCACGACCCTGCAATTAAACGAAATACACATATCCACTCTCTCTCTCTCTCTCTCTCTCTCTCTCTCTCTCTCTCTCTCTCGTTGGCTCACCTTCTGATTATCCGGATGTGGACGGGGAAATCCGTTATCTCGAAGTTGTTGTTCCGTCATTATCCATTTTGTCAACATACCGTAAAGAGCAGGCCCCCTAAATTCCGTGACCGACCTCTTTGTCTTAAGGACGCTCCAAGAACCCTTTGATTTTCCAGTGAGCACCGCTTCATGGGACACCGTGTTGTTACTGCTGCCTGCCACTGTCATCGCATTATTCTCCATCGATGATGAATTCTGATCAACTTCCTTTCTGAGTCTATGCGCGGCAAGCATGCAAGAATTTTTATAAACAGTTAACGCTTTGCATCTTTCGTGGCAAGCGTATTCCTCTTTAAGATTCACATAATACTGACGAACGTTTAAAGGGAACTTTTGCGTGGTTACTTGCAACGGTTCAGGACGTATCAACTGAGGTACCTGAAACAACACAAGAATCTCGTAACACGCTACGAGACAGTAAATTTACAGTAAAGACTCTATAAGAGTTCGTTGGGATCTACGCGTTGACTATTCATGGTCTATCCCCACCACGAGGAGGGACCACCCTCGAACCAGGCAAGCGACTAATATGACACGGCCGCGGCATCTCCTTATCGCATTCGGTGGTGGCATATCGGCGAGACAACGATTTTAACAAAACTACAAAAGTTTGTTATTTTCAATTTTTCGTTAATAAAAATTTCATCGAAATATTGGGGAGATTTTCCTGATTAAAATGATACCAAACACGATATAGTTACAAAACTTGGTTGTGTTGATCGGCTTTGGGAATTTTCTCCGTTAAAAGTTTCACAGTTGTGCCGAATACGAACAGTTATCCAGTACTGGAACTGGTGAATCAATCCGGTTATTCCCGAATGGGACTTAAGTTCGTAAACGGCATTGCCTTTGATCAATTAACACACGTTGAGCGCGGAGCCGATTTCGCTCTGCTTTCCGTTCAGGCGGCAGAGCACATAGCGGCGAGCACTTCGCAAGGTGTTCGGTTATAGAGTATAAACAGAAGATATCAAATGCACTCACACGGCGTTCAGATGAAGAAATACCAATGCAAGCACATTCGGGCGAAATACATACAACCAGAAAGTTAACCAAACAGGTCGTCACTTTTTCTAATACGTGTAAAACCAAACCACATCTCTGCTTAAAATGTTTCAATAAACTCCATTAGAATTGTAACATTTACTCGTATCTTTTTAACCTTGACGCCACCAAAACGAAAAGTTCAAACGATTTTCGACCTCTGACGAGTTTAAAGGGCAGTTGTAGACTGTTAGCGGAGGACGAGTTGCAAACAGCTTGCGAACAATTGTAATTTACTAATATGTTGAAAATAGAACTTAAATAGATTTAAAAAATTGAAGGTAATCTTCATTTCTTAAAAAATAATGCAAATTCTTTGCAAAAAATAGTATCACTCTTTCATTTTTCTCTCATACTCGTCAAAAACGCCGTAAATCCGTTAACATTCTGTATAATTATAAATAATTGCATCAGTTTTAGTATAATTCCTTTGACCTTTTTAGTAATTTTTTGTAACTTTGCAATACCCTGTAATTTCATTTAATTTCTTATAATTGCTTTTGTGTTTGTACTTTTCAGTGTTGTCTCGCCCGTATGTAGGCATTTAATAATTTTTTACGACTCTCTCAACTTTCTACGTACATCCGTCGGTGTTGGTGAAATAGAAACAGTTCGAAGAATCTAGTACCTATCCCGTAACTGTTCCACAACGAATTTCGAACTCTTATAGAGAGTCTTTACTGTACCATCAGTTCGTACTACGCAGAGAGCAGGGAAATTCCTTTCCAGCTCTACGTAGTAAACGATAACAACGCATACGCACCATTTGTGGAACGTGAGCGACCCGTACACCGCACTTCGCTGTTTGCGCAGCTGTTTTACAATTATCCGTTGCTTTCGTATCCGCCAACTTCCCCGCTGCATTCTCCGTCACTTTTTTTTTCTCTATCGCTAGAGACATAGCATACGGCACATGAGCGATTCTGACACGACCTGTTGCAAATATCGCCGAACAAGGTAAACCCCGTATATGTAAATAATCAACAACAATGTCTATTTGTACTTTCAAGTATTTTCGTGTACTTTCTCAAGAAACGACCATGTTACCATTTCCGTTCAATTTTAGTTCGCTGTTGCTCGCTGTTCCCATCCCCTCGACACAATTACGGCGTACATCCCTGGAAACACCGCTGCTCGCAGAAATTGTCTTTTCCGCAACAGCGTCTCGCATCAAACGCCATCTTTCGTACATCTTTTGCTGTGGATTTGTCAATTTTCTCGCCTGTTGACTAACACCCCCAATGTGCCTGGTAACGGAGGAGGCGGCTGCCGAAGGATGCGCTACTCTCTTCCTGCCGGTCTCTTCGTTCTGTTCCTTTTCCCTTTCCATCTCTTTTTCCTTCTCTTTCATCCGTAACGACGATGTCTCGCTCGACGATTCCGTTGTCTTCGTTCGTTCCGGTACTTGGTATTCCTTGTAACAACATTCAACTCGGTGTAAATACAATGCAAACAATAAAATTCGATAATCGATATTCTCTAAATACATATTCCCTCTATCGACGAAACATCAATTTACCACCAGTACATACCTGAAATATCTTTAAACATTCTTCTTGTACGTCGTGATCCGAGTCAGATGTGCTAAAAACCACGTCGATATCGTTCTCAATGATATTACTATAACGATCGTCGTTCTCTTCTTCTTCGTCGTCGTCGTCGTCGTCGTCATCCCTTAAATTCAAGCGAACGCTTTCCAAAGAGCTCCCGGATCTGTCGGTTGAACGTCTTTCTTTCCTATTCTCCGCCGCCGCATGTCCCTGCAATTTTCCAATTAGCTTATCGTCAGATTTACGTTCCGTCTTCAACCGTTTATTGCTTCCGTCACTTCTATTCTTCTTCACGTGTTCTTCCTTCTTCGAGGAATGCTTCGAATCATATTCGTGACGTTTACCCAACTCGTCACAATCCTTCCTATCCGTCTTTCTTTTATGTCTATTCTCATTTTTTCCTTTATCCTTTCCCTTCTCCCCATGTTTCTCCTTCTCTTTGCATTTGCTCCTATCTCTATTGTGCTTCTTATCTCTCGATTCTTTACCGCTGTGCCTCAAATGACTCTTACTTTTGCTTCTGCTACGAGAGACGGAACGCGACTTTTCGTTCGAATTATGCCTGTCTTTGTATCTCTTACGAGATGTCGCAGTACCGTGACGATCCTTGCGATCCTTGTTTCTACTTTTCTCCCTATTTTTCACTTCTTTTGCATTTTCATTCCTACTCTTATACCCATCTCTTATTATTTCCACTACTTTTTCCACTTCCTCTTCCTCTTCCTCCCCATCCCCCTCTTGCTCATCCTCCTCCTCCACCGCCGCCGCTTCCGCCTCCTCCTCCTCCTCTTCCTCCTCCTCGTATCGCAAACGTTTCGAACTCTCTTCTTCGCCTGTGAATTTTTCATGCTTCGCAGTGTTACTCACGGTACATTTCGACATTCCCTCACCGCGATTCTCTCCCTCCTTAACAAATCCATCGTTTGTCAACGAAGCTGTTTCTGAAAATTCTACATCCGTGTCCATCCGTGCATCCTTGGAGCAATTCAATTTCTTCAGATCCCGACGATCAGACTCACTTTGCGTCGAGAATGTACGGTGGTCAATATGTGTGGTATTAATTTTGTTCGCATCATGACCGTAATCTTCAATATTATCGCGACTATTACCGTCCTCCTCATCTTCGTCATCGGAGAATTTCGGTTCCAGATGTGTGCAAGAATCTTTCGACACCTTCCTAGATTCAAGTACATCAGATGTCGATCTAGTACGCATCACTACTTCCTCGTCTATCGTGTTAAAGTCTGTTTCAAAATGCGTTTCTAACACAGATTCGTTTAATCCGTCGACAGTTTTCAACGGAGTCTTTACTTTCTTTGGAACATACTCCTCCCTTCTCTTTTTACACTTTGGATAATACGCTTCCCTGAGTTTAAGCAAATACTCGTTCGCACCACTGTCCTTACACGGTGGATTTGGCAAAGGTGGATCTGTCTTACACGTAGGTACATAACTGTGCATAGTATCGCGCGTTTCCGAGTTAATTATGGTCGTAGGTTTGTATTTAATTTCAGCAGCTTGAGCTTCCGTAGATTCGCTGCCTATACTTAACCATGGTTTAATTCCATCCGGAGTACATTTAGGTTTCACCGCTACTCTACTTTCTCTGGTTGGCATATAAGATACTATCGGAATATGACGTTTCTTCAGTTCTGCGATAGGTGTTGGGTTATACACGCATGGAAGTGGCTTATTAACCGACGTCGAAGCATCTATTCTTCTCTCCGCTGCATTAGTCGTAATGTTATCCAACGTACCAGGTGATCCGGTGGTTAGTGTAGGTTTTAGCCCTTCAACTACCTGAGAAACAACATTCTGACAAGAAAATTTATCTACATCTGCGACATCTCGATTAGCAAGGACTTTTTTCACAGCTTCTGTTACTAATTGTTGTAAAACGTCTGAATCAGATGTTACCATTGTAGACGCTTTGGATTCTTGAACCTGACCCGTGGAACGGTTTTCCACCGACTCGGCGGCCTCCGCGGTAATCCCAGCATCTTCTGAAATAATATTTCAACTTGTAACATTAAAACGGATCCAAGTTTCCGGATACAAGACAGCATATCGCGAGAAATACGCATTATTTCGAATGGAAAGTAATTTCAACGGATAAATAATAATCACTTACCTCGCTTCGAATGCTTGAAATGACAATAAGGTCTATCGCACGTTCCACTTTCGTAAAATGGACAGTTGATAGCTTTAAAATAACCAGTCGAAGGCAACATATCTAGTTCATTGTACTTTATACTTTCGATCGTTCATTCTTCGAGCAAAAAGTGTCGTATCAAGTCGTGCAAGAACATCGACTTTTAAACGAAACCAAGTTTAAACTTCCTCTAGAAATCAACCATCATTTTCCCTTATATTCAGTTGATGCGTGTTTTTACCATTATCCCAAGGACATTTGCAAGCTTTTACAAGGTGCATCGAAAGCATGAAACTCGAAACGAATCGAATCCCAAGAACAGAGGTTATGTGCAATTGGCTCGTACATTTCCCTATTTGCAATTTCTTTCAAAGTATTCACTCCCTTCTTCCCCCTCCACAACCATCCACCCGCACAACATCTCACCTCTTTTACCCCCACTATTCTTCTTCTTTTTCAATTTCCCGTTATTCTTCTCCTTTGTGACAACTCTCTAGGTCCATATTCTCTCGTCGCTACAGGTGCACCAATAACAAACACCGAAATCCCTAGCTAGCAATATACATGTAATTCAAATTTTTCACTTTCCCGATCTCAGTTTGTTTTTTCGAAAGAAACCTTACTACGCAATTCTCAAATTTGTAAATACACAACTCGGAACCGGTAAATTTATCTTCTTCCTTTCTTTTACATATATCGTATATCATACCGAACTTCCACCACCGTACAATTACG